TTTTTTTTTAATAATCCTGGGTCTTGCTCTGCCCGTTGAATCAGAATTTTCTGGCTTGGAACTTGAGAATCTGCATCTTAACCAGTTTCTCCAATTGATGCTTAGGTCACTGGTAGCCTAAGCCACATTCAGCACATTTCAGCCTCCTGGCTACTCAAAGCATGTTGCATCAGCATCAACTGGGGGCTTGCTGGAAAAGCAAAAGAATCTCAGCCTCACCCCAGACTTCCTGAATCAGAATCTTCATTGTAACCACAACTGTACCGATGATTTGTGCACATTAAAATTTGAGAATTATGGCTCTAGTTCTCATTTCCAAAATGTTGGTTATCTATACAATATTTTTTAGCCTGCCCAAACTACTTTATTTTTACTTAATTAAAGAAAAATAGATTTACACCAGATATGGTGTCTCACACCTATAAATCTCAGCATTTCGGGAGGCCAAGATGGGAGGATTGCTTGAGGTCAAGAGTTCGAGACCAACTGTGGTAACACAGCAAGACCCTGTCTCTATTTTAAAAAATAAAAATAATCAGCCGGGCGTGGTAGCGCATGCCTGTAATTCCGGCTACTTGGAAGGCTGAGGCGGAAGGATTGCCGGAGCCCAGCAGGTCGAGGCTGCGGTGGCCAGGAGTAGCTACTGCACTCCAGTCTGGGTGACAGAGTGAGACTCCAACTCAAAAAAAAGAAAAATAAAATAATTTAAAAAAAGAAAAATAAAATAATTAGCTGTGTATGGCGGCACGCAGCTGTAGTCCCAGCTATTCAGGAGGCTGAGGTGGGAAGATTGCTTGAACCCAGAAGTTCAAGGCTGCAGTGAGCTATGATTTCCAGTCTGGGTGACAGAATAAGGCCCTGACTCCAAAAAAAAAAAGTTTTACTTTAACCTTTAAATTAGCCTTGTCTTAAACAAACAAACAAACAAAAAAGGCATGGGATTATGAGTTTGATGTGCTAGTTTACTTTTTATAGCATATTAAAATATATTTTAATTATTAAAATAAAAATGCTTTCCTGGCTAACACACAGAGTCATCACACAAACTACAAGTGTGCAAGGCTACTGCGGGGTGACGTTGACACTGAATGTCAGAATACCTTCCACAGCTCCCCAAGAGTTTTTCCAGCCCCTCACTCATACTATGGATGAGAAAAGTAAGAATCTGGGAGAACATCTATGTTGCCAAAAAGTTAGCACAGATATTCATGGCAGCACCAGGACCCAGATAGCAAATGTGTTTATCTGACAGGTGCTTATTCCTCTGTAGATCTTCTCCCCTCTAGGCTGGGAGAAAAATTTTCTGCATCATCTTCTGTTTGAAATGCCTAATGTTGCTGAACAACCTGTCATTAGCGATTTTCCTCTGGTTCAATTTGGTAATTCTCCTATTCTCCTTTCTGTTGTGGTTATCTGTTATTTGGCAGCTGGCTACGCATTTGAAAACCCTCACCACTTATGATAATTTGCTGTCTCATCTTACCAAAGTAGAATCCAGAAAACTCATATCTCCAGAATCCCCTGTAGCAGGGTTGAGGACTGTGACGTCCACTGGCCAATCAGATGAGCCAGACAAGAGTAAGCCTGGAGGCGAGCAACATGTGCAGGCTGCTGCCCACTGAGAAATCCATATTATAATAAGGCTTTGAGGTCTTCAGAACTGGCAGTGACAGAGTTTCTGGCATCAGATCCTAAGTGTAATAGGTATTCAGCTGTGGTGGCAGCAGGGTTTTGGCAGGAGAAAGTTACATGGTGTTGCTGGGTATTGTTCCGGGTTTTAGAAAAACTTCAGGTTTCTTCTGCTAGACTCTGCTGGACTTCCCTATAAATCACCCATTACTCAGCTATTCTGGCTTAAATTAGTCAAAGTGAATTTTAATTGGAACTAACAACTTCAACCAATATATCTTAATAGCACAGGCTTCTATAGAGACCTTCCTAATGCCATCTGAACCTCAATTTCCTCACGTGAACAATCAGGTTGCTGAAACAGAAGTTATCTGAGAAGTCTCCAAGCAATAAAATTGCATAGTTGATTAAGGATCATCATTATTTTCATATTGTTTGAATAAGATTCTACATAATTTCTGCAGCCTCATTAGTCTTCATGATTAATTTCCAAAAATTAAATTTTAAGCACTCAGCATTTTACAATAAATATTTTGAGTTAGAAATATTTAGCCATGTAAGTACCTTGGATCTTTCAAGCCCAGAACTACAAAGCAGAAGGGATATTATTTGTGAGTATAATTATTCATTTTCTAAAGATTCTCATCAACAGTTCCACAATATATAGAAACCATTCTATAATACACAGCTTACACATATACTTCAAATTAAATATTTAATTTTTCTCAATAATTGTAAAATTATTGCTTATTAAAAATTTCAAATTGAATGTATCCAGAATCAAGACAACAAGGACTAACTGTCACTACCAATGGTATCTACCATTTTGTCATGCCTTTTTGGAATGTGTTAAGATAGCATTATTTTTGCCTGTGTGTGCTATGACAATTGTGAAATAAAGGGTTTCAAGTAATCAGAAAGGCTATTACCCCAGTTTTTCTAAATGATGCATGGGCATGATCATTCTTAGATGATGACAGTTACAGGTGTTCCAGCACCCAAAGAAATTAGCAATTAAATTTCTTCAATCCTTAATAAAGTTTAAAATATGAGAAAGGAAAACATGAAGAATTCAGCCTTGGAATCCTGATATTCAGGAAACTGGCAAAAGAAAGCAAGTCGGAAGAACAAAGAAAGAGCTGCAGGAAAGATAAGAATGGAAGTGGGACAGGACAGTGTTTTAAAAGCCAAGGAAAGAATTTCAAGTTTGCCATTAAATACTAAAACAATAAACATGTGGCTAAAACATCTCCACCTCCCAGCTATGCCCCACCCTTCCAACTTCTTAAGAAGGGTTGGATAGGGGGGAGAAGGTCCAAAATTTTTATAACCTCCCATCTCAGAATGATTGGATGATAACTTCCACGTGAAAAGAAGATGGACCGGGTCTGATTCTCATGATTAAGGTCAAGACAAAAACTGGGTGTGGCTTTACACAATATGCTGAACAAAGGTTTAGGTAATAACAATTCTGGAAACATTTACAAATAACTCACTAAATCTCATGGATGGGTATTTTGCTAATGAGGCTCCTCATTTTTAGAGGCGTAATTTAAGAGTTTATTGAATACAAGTCCTAATAACTATAAACTATTATCTTTTTTAGTTGGACTTCAAAACAACAGAATATGAGGACTAACAAGAGCGATCACAGGAGACAGACATTTTTTCCCAGCACCTACTAAATGCCAAGCCCAGAATTATTTTATATTTTTATTTCATTTAAGTCTCTCAACAGCTCTGACAAGAGTCATCTCCTCATTTTGCAGATTAGAAAAAGTAATACTCAGGGGGACTGCAACAATAATAAGTGGCAAAGAGGAAATTCAAACGTGTATTCCTTTGGCTGAGCAAATAAATGTTCTCTCATGCAGCAAGCTAATGCTGTGATATCACCAGTAGCAGTAATGGCTAAAAATAGCAGACCCTAGTTTTGAATTTATGTTGGTTGCAAATATTAATTAATTCCCTGTTTTTGAAATCCATAGTATTTTAATGGTTTTGATTATTTTATCGGTTGGAAGAAGAGAGGCTTTAGAAAGCTCTAAAAAACACACTCATGGGACTTAAACTGGGATGGTGTTTAGCTTTAAGGTTCTAGCCCTTATATCTCAGCTAATTCTCGGTTTTGGCACTTTTCAGAGCTTGGAGAACAGCCAGAACTCTGGGAGGCATGAGAATTTTTTTTTTCTTTTGAGTTGGAGTCTCACTCTGTCACCCAGACTGGTGTGCAGTGGCCGCTGCAGCCTGGACCTGCTGGGCTCCAGTGATCCTTCTGCCTCAGCCTTCCAAGTAGCTGGAACTACAGGCGCGCGCTACCACGTCTGGCTGATTTTTTGATTTATTGTAGAGATGAGGTCTTGCCAAGTTGCCCAGGCGGGTCTCGAACCCACGGGCTCAGGCAATTCACTCACCTCAGCCTCCCAAAGGCGTGGGATTACAGGCTGAGCCACCGAGCCCGACTGGCATGAGAATATTAACTCTTCATTAAGCAAGTGACATATATGAGAAAGTCTGACTGTCATAGGATAGCCATTTTAAAGGGAACATACTTATTTTAAAGAGTTGTATAGACAGCTGTAAAGTAAGGTTTTAGATAATCTTGAACTTACTAAAAAACCACAAAGTTGATATGAGCTGATCATAATTTTATCAAAAACTATTAGCTAAAATTAGTTTCTTATCCTGGAAGGTGACGTTTCAGTGAATTTTTTTTATAAGTTGCAAAGCTTGTAAGTGTTATAGTTCCAAAAACTGCTTGCACACAGCTTATGAGATCCCACATTGTCAAAGACTTTGTATGACAGGAAACCTGGGTTCAAGCCCTATCTCCAACTTTTTCTGGCTTTGTGAGTTTGTCAAGGTTCCTTAACCACAATGAACCCTGGTTTCCTCAGGTATAAAGGAATACTAATAATAAAGCTATGAGGGGATTACATGAGATAATTATATAGAGCACTTGGCAGAGCACCTGGTATGGTTCACAGTCATGAAGAGAATGGAATTACTTTCTGAAGAAATAGGAAGACTATATTTTTACTCATAGTATGTGCAAACGTTTAATATTACCTATAACTATTCATGATAAAATATTTGTTGAACACTTATTATATCCCAAGAAAAATTCTAAAACAAATAGTTTTACTAGGTTTTAAACCATTCACATCATTATTGAGATATTAAATCCTTCCCCCTTCAGTGCAGAAATGATGCTTTGTTCAAAATTCTTTAGTGATACATGGAGTGGCCCCAACTGTTCAAAATCTCTTAGTGATACATGGACACTGCCTCTCCTCCTGGCCCCACCCACTAATGCCATCCCAGTAGAATGAGGAGAATGAGGGTCTCTTCTTGTTCAGGAAATGACTGACCTTGGTGGCCGCGGCTGTTGGATCAGCATACATTCTGGAAGGTTGGCTACTCCCAATGCTTGCTGCATTTTTCTTGAAAATAGAAAATATGATTTCAATGGAGAAAACACCTTAACAATGTAGTCCAATGCAAATTTTCTTATCAATACAAAAATCTTCCCAAGCAAGAATCAGATTAATATACTAAACACATTCACTGTAAGCATGTTTTTAGTTTTTCATAACTTTGCCTGAAGACGATATATAAATATCGCAAGGGAAGAGTAAGTTGAATAAATCCTAATTTTAAAATAATCAATGACTTTTAAGAATGTAAAAGTCCTCACGGGGGCAGTTGTCATTCCTCACCATAATAATGCACTTCCAGAAACAAGGCCACCCACTGTGGAGTAGCTGCCCTTTTTTCTTATAGTGCTGTAGAGGGTGTACAATGGTACCATGTCTATGGGGGTGATCTAGCAATATGGATCAGAGATGTAATTCTACTTGTAAAAATGTATCCTAGGGAAACAAGAAAAAAGCAAAAGTCTTTTTCTTCAAAGTTATATTCATTGCAGTATTATAACATCATATAAAACAATACATTAAAACAATATATATACTAACAATGAATATTTATTGAATATTTACAATATCCCAGGGAACTATTCTACAGAATAATAGAATTGTAGGTAATCATAGGATAATAATGCTCTAATAACAAAGTCTAGAATATTGTTCTAAGTGCTCTAGTGTTTTAAGTACCATGTATAACAACTTATTTACATTAACTGATATAAAACTGGACCTATTGTTATCTCTGTCTACAGGAGAGGAGACCAAGGAACAGAATGAATAAATTATATGGCCATGGTCATAGCTAGTAAAAGGCAGGGTGTCTGCTTCAGACTCTGCCCTCTTAGCCTCCCATAATAGGGGCTTAGGCTTTAGCACAGCTACAGGATGAAATATCATGTGATATTTAAAAATAATGTGTTTGAAGAACATCTTGACCAGGCATGGTGGCTCATCTTATAATCCCAACACTTTGGAAGGCCAAGATGAGGGGACTGCCTGAGCCCAGGGGTTCGAGACCAGCCAGGGCAACTTGATAAGACCTCATCTTTACAATAAATCAAAAAATATAAGCTGGGCATGGTAGCGTGTACTTGTAGTTCCAGCTACTTGGAAGGATGAGACGGAAGGATCACCTAAGCCCAGCAGGTCAAGGCTGTGGTGGCCATGAGTATGCCACTGCACTCCAGCCTTGGTGACAGAGTGAGACTCCAACTCAAAAAAAAAAAAAAAAAAAGAAGAATATCTCATTAAATGAAAACATACTATTCATATTTTATATAAAGAAAAGTCAGATTATAAATAGTATGTGTAGTATAATCCCTGAAATTCATTTGGGTTTATTTCCTGATGGTGTTAAAAGTAATTTTTGAAAAATCCTTCCTGGTATTTTTTTGTTTCCTTATATAGCTGTTTGTTGTTGTTGTTTGTTTGTTTGTTTGTTTGTTTGTTTGGTTTTGAGTTGGAGTCTCACTCTGTCACCCAGACTGGAGTTCATTGGCTGCTCCCAGCCACCGCAGCCTCCACCTGCTGGGCTCCGGTGATCCTTCCACCTCAGCCTTCCCAGTAGCTGGAACAACAGGCACACGCTACCACGCCCGGCTAATTTTTAGATTTATGTAGAGATGAGGTCTCGCCCAGTTGCCCAAGCGGGTCTCGAACCTGCAGGCTCAGGCAATCCACTCACCTCAGCCTCCCAAAGGTGCGGGATTACAGGCTGAGCCACCGAGCCTGGTTTATATAGCTATTTTAACTGAGAAAAGGAAAATAAATGAGGAAAAAAAAAGGAAAGGTAAAATACCCAGTTCCTTTCCCAACAAGATCTTTATATCCTATCTCTTACCTGTGAATATATTTCAAAGAAGCAAGAATAAAAACTATAAAGCTTTATAATCTAAAATGATGATACTATGCTCCAAGGTCTATAAAAAGTGAATAATGTACTGTAAACACTGAATACACAGGGGATGGTAATACATTAATTAGCTGGTATATTACACATTTAAATGCTCTGTATCTATGCAGTAAACATTTTATATGTACAATTGAGAATAATTTGGCTTGATTCTTTAACATTCAGAAGAAATATTTCGCTCAGTTTATATTGTTTAATTCATTGAAAATGCCTCCATGGAAGTTTGAGCTGAAGCCTTTTTTCCCTCAGGGCAAATATTGCCTAAGCATGCCAAAAAATCAACACAGCTTGCTTTCTTCAAAGCACAATCTCTATGTGTCTACTGGTTGACCACACTTACAGTATTTCAGGAAAGTCACCAGTGTGGACACATTTTTATAAATGTATCTATGAGGTATCTAGGGGACCTCAGAGGGATTTGTAGGAGTTCTAGTCTCCCAGGCATCATGTGTAGAATAAATATTCTTCCCCAAGCATACACCCATACCGTCAACCAAGGGAAGAAAAAAAACCTAGATAAATGTGGTAGAAACAAAGGAGGTTGCTAAAAAGCAAGAGTGCTGTGGGTGTGATGTGCAAGATGATGAAAGGCCTACATCTTTATCCAAATTTTCAGTTCTTTTCAAATTGTGATGTACAAATAGTAACAAACAGCTTCTGATAACCATAATGCTTAAATGGATTCAATGTAAGAGCAGTAAGGCAGTAGGCTTATCCATTTCAACTGTTATCTATTGCAGCCTTCCTTTCCAGTGCCAGAGCTGAAGGAGGCTAGTTCCAACGTGGCACAGCTGCCCCACACTCCAGCCCTCAGGCTTTGGTCTCAGCTATAAGGAGACCATAGTCCCATCCTGGGCTAACTATTGATTTAATTCCCTATCTCAAAGCCCATACACAGGACCCCATCTTCCCTGTAAAGTGTGTAAATGAATTACACGATTTACAATATGTCAGCTAGGATTTTCCCATAAAAATTAAAAAAAAAATACTATTCAGCTATGATGAAACTATAAAGTTAAAAATAAAAACTGTTTAAACTTAATATACTCTTTGCTGCCACCACCAGGTCAGGAGAAGGCGGAGGAGCAGGTGCGTTCAAGATTCGGCGTCTCGGGTAATCCATCACCATGGCCACGGAAGGCATCGCTGCTGGAGGTGTAATGGACGCGAACACTGCTTTACAAGAGGTGCTGAAGACCACCCTCCTCCACGACGGCCTAGCGCATGGAATTCGCGAAGCGCCAAAGCCTTAGACAAGCGCCAGGCCCATCTTTGTGTGCTTGCATCCAAAGGTTATGAGCCTATGTACGTCAAGCTGGTGGAGGCCCCTAGTGCTGAACACCAAATCAACCTAATTAAGGTTGATGACAACAAGAAACTAGGGAAATGGGTAGGCCTGTGTAAAATCGACAGAGAGGGGAAACCCCGGAAAGTGGTTGGTTGAAGTTGCGTAGTAGTTAAGGACTATGGCAAAGAATCTCAGGCCAAGGATGTCATCGAAGAGTACTTCAAATGCAAGAAACGAACAAATAAAACTTTGGCTCATGTTCTTCAAAAAAATAAATTAAATAAATAAATAAATAAATAAACTTAATATACATGCTGATTTTTATTTTAGTTATAAATCAACTCAAGGTTCAATTTTTAAAAATGACTTACTAATAAATTCAATGTCTCTTAACCCAGCTGAGAATCATTCAACTTTCCTGAGGGTAAGATCCACCCAAAAGGCTGGCTTGCCTTCAAGCTGCCTGGATTACTTAGTCTACACAAAAACAATTTAGTTCAACTGAAATAAGGGTGGAATTTGTATAATCTTTCATTAAATTTTTTTTTCCTATATATTTTTTTCATAATCAATATTTTTTATTATGGTTTTGTGGGGTACAGTTAAGTTAGGTGTACAATTACGTTTCATTCAGGCACCCTGTTGATAAGAGGTGTTTCCCCATCCCCAGACAGATATTTGCTACTGTTAATCCCATCCCCCTCCCCCCCCATAGTTTCCCAGTACCGTCAGTCATTTTCTTATAGTATTACATTGGATGTTCAAGGTCCGTTATATGAGTGAGAACATGTGATACTCAGATCTTTGTTTCTGTGAGAGGTCACCCAGTATTACAGACTCTAGTTCCATCCAGGTTGCTGCGAAATTCATGATTTTGTTCTTTTTTATGGCTGCGTAGTATTTCACATTTTTTTAATCCAGTCCTCTTTTGATGGGCAGCATGGTTGTTTCCAGGTTCTTGCTATTGTGAACAACGCTGCAATAAACATACGTGTGCAGGTATCTTTTTTACAGAGTGATTTGAGTTCTTCAGGGTGATGTAATATTCATTAAATTTTTACCTAACAGTATTTATTAAGCCTTTTGTCAATGTCAAGCACTGGAAACACAATATGGAAGCTTAGAAATATACATATTTACAAAACACAGACTCCTTATGTTCAGGTTAGTAAGCAGAGCTTAATTTCAAATGGTGTTTGCTAATGTGTAAGAACTGGCCCCCCTTTCTTCAATTTTGTCTAACTTGACATATTCACTTATTCACTCACTCACTGGACAAACTCTGAGCCTAGTGCTATTCTAGGCAATGGGGATATAATGACCACTTAAACAGGAAAAGCTCCTGCTCTCATAACATTTACATTCCAGTAGGATAATCCAGCCTCTAAATAAGTCAACAAAAAACAAGATGACTTCAGAGAGTCAGATTGTAAAACAGGGAGTCAGACTATAAAACAGGGTGATACAGCAGAGAGTGACTGACTGAGGATGCTTTAGACATGATGAATAAGAAAGTAATATTTGACTGAGACCCAACTGTTGTGAAGGAACCAGTCGAGTAAATATGGGATGGGGGGTGAGGATGAGGCATTTTAGGTAGACAGGGCAGCATGTGCAAAGACCCTGAGATAGGAATGGACTTGGCAAATTACAGGAACAGAAAAAAGGCAGTGCAGCCAAAGCATAGTGGATACAGGCATCTATAGTATGAGATGAAACAGGATGCAGGACCAGGATACTTAGTCTGAAGTGATGTGGGCTCAGGATGGCCCTACAGTCAGGTGTTTGTGGGATCATCAGTTTCTGCCAGGCTCT